ATTGGCTAAATATTCTCTTCGAAGGCGCAAAGGCGGTTAAACGAATACTGTCTTCACTCATCAGATGGGAGAGAATGAGTGTGGGGTCGAACTGGAGAGAGATTTGCGGAGTACGCTTTCAGTCCTTGCGTTAGCCATAGAGAGGACTCGGTGAAGGTATGGGAAGAAATATCCCCGAGAGGCGCGCACTAAATTGGTATTTATTTAGAGTTCGTTGACTGCATACCGGTATATTGGAAATTTTAGCGAATCAAGTAGTACCTTTTCTCAATATATCGGTGATGATTTTTTATTAATGCAAGATAATGTGCGACCCACTCTGCAATGTTTGTCACGCAATATTTAGAGGAAGTTGGTATTAATAAAATGAACTCGATAATGAAACGAAAATGTCGATATGACATTTCTTCAATATTAGTCACCAAAGCCCCCATCGTCGTATTACAAATTAATACAAAAGATAATGGTAATAATAGGAAAAGTCGTAAATTGTGGGTGGCATTTCGCTCTTAAAAATGAACCAATCGATATCTTCACATGAAATAAAAAATATAGTACTTAAAAGACATGATTTCAACCGAAAACTAAGATTTTACCAAAATCTGATAACGGAGTTATTCCACGGGATGTTTCAAAGTTATAATAAAAAACCACCTTTCGATTAACCCGGTATAATAAGTGAAATACAGAATTTTATTAAAAAACTCTGCTAAATTAACATTTATAAATTTTTACACACTGACACTGTGCTAAAAAAGTCATCAAAATAGGTTTAGAAATTAAAAAAAAACTGTAATAAATCCAAATTTTCTCCGTTGAGTTTTTGTATCTGAGTGTATATTAATCAAGTTTTATTAGAAGTACTTATGTCTGCTTAAAAATTTGGTAAAATGTAGAATTCTCTATGATAAAACTAAAATTGCGTTTTCTTGCAGTTTCCCAGACCAGAATGAAGATACATCAAGGTTAGGGTTCACACAACAAATGCTTGTAATATACAGGCCCATTTAGTTGCCTGATAAAGTGGCTCTATCTGGGTTTTATCACCTAGTTTAAGCAGTAAATGCTTCTAGAATTCCCCGAAACCAAATAAATGAGTGTAAAGATTATATACCGTTATAAGGTATTATAAATTGGATACGTTTTTTATAAAGATAATAGTAGTGTTTGGAAATAAACCGATTTAGTGAAATATAAGGTTGTTTTTAAGTGATTAAACAATTGTTATGTTATGTAATATTGGTTTTTTGGTAATAATGAGTGTTATCAAATGACAGGGAGTCTTTAGTTGCCACTATCAAATAATAGAAGTACCTATGCAAAAAGGTCTTCAACGTACTGATTCTACATTTTTTAAATATCTGTTGTTTCTAAGATATTTTTTTTCCGTTAGGCTAATATATGTTTATCGTTAAGTCTTTATATTTTCATTTATTTGGCACATCTTTTATTTTTTGTACATGCTGTGATATTCATAAATCTGCTGTGACGTGGCGCTATATTAGACAGCGGACCCAATAAAACGCAAGTTTAATTTAAATAAAAATATATTCAAATAAATAACAAAAAGTATTTTAGAATAAAAAATTTTATTTACAAGGACGAATCCTCGTAAATAAAATAATGTGAATGTAAAATAAACAGCGTTTGGATGGGTAAGACCAAGGACGATCTTTAATCAATACCCAAAAACCTTGGAAACGGCTGATCAATAGCCTGGGCGAGAGGTAAGACAAGATCAGTCGATTGATACTCGACCCAAATGAGAAAAGGAAGCTATCGGTAAATACTTTATCGCTTATACGGAAAATGACGATGGGTTCTAGTCAGTACTGAGACACCCAGAGTAAAAGCTCTGACCAGATTAATACTCTGGATCAAACTCAGTTATCTGTCGGTTGTTTACGGCGTTTTATACTTTTGGTCGCTATTCAATCTCCAGCACTCATCTATGGCAGTGGTAGGGTGTTGCTGGAAGTGTGAACATACAAAAAGGGGGTCGGCCACAGGAGATGAAAATGTCATCGATACATTCTCATATTGTTCAATTTCTTTTAATTTCTCTTACAACCATGTATGTTAAGAATCTTTAATTTTTATTTTTATCATTCTAAGTATTTCACGATATTTTGGTTTGTTCTTGATTTTATCTTTCGTTTCTCTTTCATCCTATTAAGAATCTCTTCAGCCATTCATTCATTGTTCTTTACTTAATCTTTTTTCAATATCAGTTAGCACGATCTCTGATAGATTTCTCGGTTATTCTGTTTGCGTTTTCATTAATCCTGTTCATTTTTTTATTTAGATATTTCTCTGCATACACCTAATAGTGACATTGTAAAGCGTTATTTGAATCAGTCTTCTTTTTTTAGGGGGTTTTTGGATCTTTTATGCACCTTTTATAAATTCGACTCTTGCTTATATATTTACTCGTAATATAATATCAGAGACGTCACCAAACGTACTTTTAAAATAGTTTAATCATAGATGATCATAACCTGGTTAAGGTTTATTTCATTATTATCTGCGAATAATCTCTTTAACAGAATTTATGACACTGGGATATTACCAACTAATTGGTTAAAGTCGACATTTGTCACAATACCTAAGAAACATCGTCCAAAGACATGCGGTGATTATCGGACAATAAGTCTGATAAGTCACGTTTTGAAGATCTTCCTGCGAGTAATACACAGCAGAATTTACACGCTGTTATAGGACAGAATTAGCAGTACTTAATTTGGGTTAAGGAGTGGCTTGGGTACAAGAGAAGCCTTGTTTAGTATACACATGGTAGTACAGAGATGCAGAGATATAAATCAAAATGTGTACACGAACAAGAACTGTCGGATGAAATAAATATAAAAAGAGGAGTGAGACAAGGCTGTATATTGTCGCCTTTACTTTTTAACTTATATTCGGAGGAAATATTTAAAGAAGCCTTAATGGAGACAACTAAAGGTATTATTGTGAATGGAGTAACCGTCAACAATATTAGATATGCCAACGATACCTTAGTCCTTGCCAATTGCGGAGAAGACCTTCAAAATCTAATGAACAAAATAAAACAGACTTGTGATCAGTATGGAATAAAACTAAACGTTAAGAAAACCAAATATATGATAGTTAGCAAACAAAATTATATACAGGATGACGGTATAAAAGTCGGAGATGCCACACTGGACAGAGTAAAGAAACTCATGTATCTCGGCAGTAATATCAATGAGAGCTGGGATCCAACCGCAGAAAGTAAAAGCCGAATAGAACAAGCTCGAGCTGCCTTCGTAAAAATGAGAAACGCACTTTGCAGTCACGATCTTAGCATTGACCTTAGAGTTCGTATGACATCTTGCTACATCTTTCCTGTCCTGCTGTATGGAGTGGAAGCGTGGACTCTAACTGAGGCTATGCTTAAACGTTTGACAGCCTTTGAGATGTGGGTATACAGAGGACCACTGAAAATAAGCTGGGTCGACAGAGTTAGAAATGAGGAGGTCCTTAGACGGCTGAGCCAAACAATACAACTGGTCGATATAATAAAGAAACGCAAGCTGGAATATTTCGGTCGCATTGTGGGACACCCTGAAAAATATGATCTTTTACATCTGATTATTCAGGGAAGGATCCAAGGTAATCGTGGTCCTGGTAGACGAAGAACATCATGGCTGAAAAATCTAAGGCAATGGTATGGAAAATCAACTACATCGTTATTTAGAGCTGCTGTCAATAAAGTCACGATAGCGAATATGGTAGCCAACATGATATCCAACGATCGATAACGGTCATGGAACTATAAGAAGATCTACGAATGCTAAACAAAATGTTGACTTCGACTAAGATGCTTGATCCAAAATAATTTCAAATAAATGGTGAAGTCATAGTTTTAAAAATTTGGTGCATTCACCATATACTGAACAAAAACAAGGTATATACCGCAGTTCATTTAATTTAGTTATAAAATAAAATTATTAATAAATTGCAAATTAATCAATAAATCAATAAATCTTTATTGGTATGGGATGAAGTGAGTAGCTCTATAACCGATGTGGCTGGTTCCAAGCCCGGCTAAAAGAGGAAGGACAGAAGAGTAACACCTCTAAAAAAATCCAGGGGTCAGCTGATCCGGCTGATAGCACCATGTGAGGATCTCTGCCTGGAGTACAGGTGAAATCCGGTCAACGGTCTCGAAATCAGAGGATGGCTGGAAGAGTCACAATGGTCAAAAGAGTGGAAGAACCAACAGCGTGTGATCCACAATGGGTGGCTGAAAGGTCCTCCAAACGGGGGTTGTAGCGTTAGGAATTAGCAACCTACCACACAGAAAAACGTAATGAAATAGCCAAATACGGAAACACACCACCAAGTGGTTGGATACGAGGGGGAGGAAATGTTGCGAAGAGTTTGGAAGAACCAGTCTTATCAAAGCTTATCCAAAAAAAGAGGAAATGTACAACTTGGAAATACAGACGGAACTCATAGAAGCTACAAGAGCTCTGTATAAAGAAAATAAAGTGTCCATTAAAATGGATTAAAATGTAAACGTATTTACTGTTTTAAATACACTGCTCTTCAAAAACACGTATTACAAATAAATCATTATATTTATAATTTTTTTATCCTATACAGGGTCTATCATCTCATGGTATTTTTTAAATAAAAATTTATTTTATTTTTGATTTGTTTTAGAATCATAACAATATATAAATCAATTTTATAAAAGATACTGTCACAAAGTAGAGAGATTAACAAATGTTGACTGAACAGCCTGAAAGCCCAAAAAATATAAAAATCCAAATCTTCTACGTTCACTTTTAGTAAAAGTTGCAAATTTTAAAAGGATCCGAGTAAATGACACTAAGATTAGATTTACTATGTTTACTGGTAATAAAACTTAATTTTAGTTGTAACATATGATTATTATGACGTTTTAATTTCTAATTTTTCGTTTTTCATTGTTTCAGGACTCGAATTTCTCAACATATCAGCGGATGTGGGCATTCATGGAGTCCCAGCGACCGCCCGTTTTCACGTCCAGTAACCAAGAAGGTGTGGAGGCGGTGATAAAAGGCAAAGGTAGCTACGCATTTCTGATGGAATCCACATCGATAGAATATGTGATAGAAAGGAACTGCGAGTTAACGCAAGTCGGTGGAATGTTGGATTCCAAAGGTTACGGGATCGCTACACCACCAAGTAAGTGCCCTTATTAAGATCGACGAAGCTAATTATAAGGAGATTGTGAGATAGTGTTAATATTTGTAACTAAACTGTTAAATAATAAGTTATATAAAATCTTTAAAAAACAATTAAAATATAATTATCGCAATAATTTAATTTTTAAAAACATTTAAAGATCATTATCATCATCATCCAGCCTCAAGAGTCCACTGCTGAACATAGGCCTCTTCCTTATGTTTCCAACCCCGTCTATCTTGCGCCGCTCTTATCCAGTTTTTATTAAGTCTTCTTAAATCGCCAGTCCATCTTGTAGGTGGTCGACCGACGCTTCTCTTGTCTTCTTTTGGCCTCCATTCCAATAACCTCTTTGTCCATCGCCCATCTGTCATTCTGGCTATGTGTCCTGCCCATCTCCATTTTAGTCTGGCTATCTTCTCGATGATGTCAGTCACTCCGTTTCTTCTCCTGATCTCTTCGTTGGTTATTCTGTCTCGCAGAGTTGTTCCTAACATGGACCGCTCCATTCTTCTCTGCGTTACTCTCAGTTTGGTAGCTGCTGCTTTTGTTAAGGTAAGTGTTTCTGCTCCGTACGTCAAGACTGGGAGGACGCACTGATCAAATACCTTTCTCTTTAGGCATATGGGCAGCTCACTTTTAAAAGTTTTTCTTAGTTTTCCAAATGCTCCCCACCCAAGGCCGATTCTTCTCTACAGTTCATGAGTCTGGTTATCCCTGCCAATTATAATTTCATGTCCCAAGTAGTTATATCTGTCTACGAGTTTTATTTCTTTCCCACCAATACTGATGTTCTGGTTGGGTACCAAATTCTTTAAAGATAAAGATCATCTAAATATTATTTTATACGGAGCAGAAGGAAGAGCTTATATTACTCGGAAAATAGTCAACCAACATAAACGAAGAATAAAAATTATTGTCGATCCAGAAACCAACAGAAATCGAGGGTTTTATCCTAATCTCCGAATGAGTGATGCTCCTACAAATAAGGACATTTAATCCAGGAATATGCCAACAGTAAATGAGGTAGGAACATTCTATCAACATTTTAAGAAGTCCCAGAAAATATCAAAGAACAGAGAAATCACTGTAGTCATAGGCGATTTTAATGCAAAGTCGGCAAGGAAAGAGCTGAAATAATAGGGGCAGATCAGAGACAAGGGGACGGTTATATATGTGGTGCTCGCTTGCGGATACACAGGAAAAAGTGGCAATGATTTAAATCGAAAACATTTTTAGGACCAGATGTTACATCAGACCATAACCCACTAATCATTAGTCACGCTTAAGTTTAAACGTATTAGAAAACTCCAAAAACCGCAAAACTAGAAATTAAAAAACTAAAGGAAGATTATGTAAAAAACGAAGATGCTGTGTAGGGCCCTTTTTGATGTGTCTGTTTTTCTACCTTAATACATTCGTTATCCCCTTTCATTTAACGCATCACACGGCCCAATTAGAACAATGAAAACAAGAAGAATTGACAGTTGACATTAGCTACGGCAAAGATGAAGATTTGACAGTTCAAAAGACAGCTAACGGTTGCTGATAAGAAGGAGAATTAACATATCGAAAAGTAGAAGATTTGACAGATGGCTTGACAAAAAGAAAGATAATTAACAGATAAAATGGCAGCTGACGGTTGCTGATACAAGGAAGAATAGACAGACCAAAAGTTTACAGACCAAAAATTTACAGTTAACATTAGCTACCAAAAAGAAAAAGAACTGGCAGATGACAGTCAGAAAAGAAGAATAATTGACGGACTGAGAAGAGAAAGAAGTAGCGGCTATCTTGGTGGCGTGCCTCTGTGAAGAGGATGGGCGTGACTTCGTTTCCATTGGAGGAGCGGGGCTTGTGATATTTTTCCGCGCGTAAGTCCTCCATACTCTGCTCCCCAACAAAAAATATCTTGAACGATTGAACGATGATTGAAAAAACTGTGCCCACGTTACAAGGAAAGAGATGTTAAAAGAGCCAATAAGAAAGAAAGATAATTGGACATGTGGATCAACGGAGATAACGGAGATAAGCCAAGAACAAAGACCGTCACAAATACAACATCATTAACATTAAAAAAATAGAGACAAAGAAAAACTTTCATCCATCCTCCCTCATCAAACCGCTCCATTCCTTACTGTTTGTAGCCATCCTCTTATACGGCCAACTGTCATGGAGATTTCTCTAGTCCTTAATCACATCATCCTCCCATTGCTTTGTCAATCTTCCCATGAATCTCTTTCCCGTATTCATTTTTTAAAAGCCTGCTTTCTTCCATCCTAAATGGCCTGTCTATTGAGGACACTTTAGGCGGACATACTGAGATGAAATTGGTCGTTTTCCATAATTTTGTCTGATTCGCCGCCTGTTGTTCTTATGTATAGGACTATATTTATAGTACCTTTCTTTTAAAGATGTGAAAATTTTTGAGTTAATACCAACAAAATAAACTTACTTTGAAGAAAAATGTAAAAAGAAAGAATATCTTCAGAACAAAATGTTACAATAAAAACGTTAATGGCAAGATTGCAAAATAGAAACTACAACACGACTCTTTAAGACGAAAACTGGAACACCATGATAAAGACTGACGAAAAACATTTTAGACTATTTTAATGGAAATAATCCACAATTGAAGGTTAAAGTAAGTTTATTGACGTTTCAATTTGCACTTTGGAAATTGTTCTCAAAAATAGCTTCAGAACAATATATTGAACAACATTTTGTTTGGGCTGTCAACCTTTTTGAAATGACAGTTTATTTGTATGCAAAAACATTATTGAGCAAAAATTCATATTATTTTTATAATTTCTAGATTCTCCATTTAGAACTCCAATTAGTGGTGCCATTTTAAAACTTCAAGAAGAAGGAAAGCTTCACATATTGAAGACACGATGGTGGAAAGAGAAGAGGGGAGGAGGAAAATGCCGAGTAAGTTTGTTCCTATTTTATTTAGTTATTTTAAATTTAATTAATATTATTATTATAACAAAAGATTGCTAATCTTTATTGTATAAAAAAAATAATATATTAGATTATAATGTTTGACTGTGGAATGAAATGAAGATAAGGGTTTTCCACCGTTTTGGAATTCGGGCAATAATTAATTATTTTGCATCAATTAAACATAAACAGTTTATTTAAAAATTAACAAAAAGATACGTTACGTACATTTATATACTAGTAAAATTGTTTATAAATATTTTTTTGTGTTTTAATAATTTTTATCATTTTTTTCACTTTATCAAAAAGCATAGAATAAGCCTCAGAATTTCTTGGAAACTAAAAAAACGGTAATGGATATTGGTGCTAGGGAAGTAAGGAATGTAAGAAGATTTATACCGTTAATTATGAATGTTCTTGGGAAAAACACTTTTTTAAAAACTAAACTTCACAAATAAAACTTTTATTTTCGACTTACAAAGATTTTAGTAGCAACAACAATAAATTAAATCAGACTAAATTATAAATCAGACTAAACTACAAATCAGACTGAATATATTGATTTTTACATAGCGTTTTTATAATTTTGTAATTGCTGATCTTGCAGTCCAATACGTCGCAATTCAGTCCAGAATGATCGAGCGGTAGTCCCGTTTGGAATCCACGTGGTAGAATTTACTGGATGGTAGCGGTCATTGTACTGTAACTCGTTGCAACTGATCTTAAAAAATTGGAAAGGACATTATAGCATTACCGAAATGTATCAAGGAGTGTGTGTATAGTTCAAATTGAAACTCAGGAATGATGTACTCATACTAACAATAATCCTATACCAGAATTTAGCCGTCTAGAGATATCCAAAATTTGTTCAAGGTATTTAGTCATAAAATTCTACAACTTAGAGCCAGCTAGAATAAAAGCTCTTAATTTTCATCAGTTTAAGGCAAAAATTAAAAGTTACCTTATAATGAATGCCTTTTTAACATATGAGGAGTATTTTACATCTGATTTTAATTTGTTGTAATTGTGTAACAGTATAATTTAAAATACTGTATCTATGTTTTATATTTTTATATTTATGTTTATGTCGGTCAGATAGCTCAGCGGGCTGTGCGGCTGCCTCTCATTCGCTTCACTTTCGAATGGTTTAGTGGATGTGGGATCGAGCCCAAGCTCGGTGTACAGAAAACAAAAAGTCTAACGCAGCAGTTTAAAATTCTAGATGAATCTGCGGCTTAGACTAGGATATGCTGGGATCTGATCGGCCTATGGTGGAGCAGTACGGCAAGAGATAAGGGCTTGCGGCTCGGTGATACTCCTCCATAGATCCCTACCGGACAGGCGTAACGCCTAAAAAACCGGATATATTATATATATATATATATATATATATATATATATATATATATATATATATATATATATATATATATATATATATATATATATATATATATTTATGTTTATATTTTATTTTCTTTGACTTGTTAAAAAATACTTTTGTATTCATTTATTATAGTGTATTTTTATGTATGAAGAGTAATAAACAATAAATTATGTATGCAAATCCTAAACTGTTGATACGGGGACTCAATGAAACAATATTTGTCAATAAGTTTAGAAGTATATAGGAAAACAATTTTAAATTGAGTATGACAGGTATAAAAGGTGGAGCAGAATAGTTGGAGCATACAATAATCGTGAGGATTACTAATCCCTAAATAAGGTTGCCAGTGTCGGAGTGATGGAGGTTAACAGGTACTAATGAATTTGCAAGAAATGTAAGATGTTTATTTTATTGGTTATATATAACCAATAAAAGTTTAATAGTACCTACCTATTTGCAAAATAAAGTTTAATTCTTTAGATAAAATAAAACGTTTTATTTTATCTGAAATTAGTGCATTCCACGAAGTAAGGGTTTCAACAATCAAACATTTAATTCTTTAATTCCAGGAATCTACGACAGTAATTGACTAGATAATTACCTTCTAAACTTATTCCACAGAAATGTGATAGTGGGTTTTTCCATTTTGTAGGAAGGTCCAAGTGGCGTATTTAAAATTCTTAACAGTTCACTAAAAGTAGGTACTTCAGTTGCAAGGTGCAGTTTATTGTGTATACTAGTGTTATGGAAAATTTGAAAGTGCCGTGTAAACGCCGAAAAATTGGTCCTTTAACAGTTAATGAAAAAACATTAATATTTAATTGTTTTAAATCATTTACAGACAAACGTTTATGTGAAAGTGTTGATGAGACCGTTGAGTTAGTTAGCAGTACACTTGGTGTTGAGAAATCTACGATTTACAGAGTTATTAAAGAAGAGAAATGTGGTAGTTTTCAAATGCCACGTAATACTCCAGGGAAACCAAAATTTCAAATAGAATATCATTTTTAAGAAGGACTTCGACAGAAAGTTCATGAATTCTTCTTTAGACAAGAATTTCCAACATTGGATAAAGTTCTTGTCTCAGTTCGAGATGATAAGGATTACCCAGAAATGAGTCGAAGTACGTTATGGAAACTTTTAAAAGAAATAGGCTTCCGCTAGGCAGAAAGTCTATTTTATTAGAAAGAAGCGATATTGTCATATGGAGAAGACATTTTCTAAGAACCATAAAGGAAATGAGAAACCAAAAAAGAAAAATATTTTATCTTGATGAAACATGGATCAACGAGGGTCATACACCAAATAAATTTTGGCAGGATGAAACTGTTACAAGTCAAAGGCACGCTTTTGTAAATAACTTATCTACTGGTTTAAACCCACCATCAGGAAGGGACGCAGTCTGATAATAGTACACATTGGCAGTTCAGACGGTTTTGTTGAAGTGGTTTATTAACTTTTGAATCAACTCGTACCGGTGACTACCATGAAGACATGAACGCTGATGTCTTTCAAGAATGGTTCGAACAAATGAAAGATCTTCTTCCTAAAAACTGTGTAATAGTAATGGATATGCAAGTTATCACTCCAGACTTATAGAAGGACTGCCCACAACCAAGTGGTTAAAAAAAAGACTTGCAGAATTGGCTGAGTTCAAAAAATATTACGTACTATCCCGGATCTATAAGAAAGAAACTTTATTCGTTGTTGTGCCCTTCATAAAGAAAAATTTTAAAAATACGAAATTGATGAAATTGCCAAAAATCGTGGAATGACAGTACTTAGATCCCCACCATATCATTGTGAATTAAACCCGATTGAACTGGTATGGGCACAGATAAAGAGTGAAGTTTCAAGAAAAATACCACTTTTATAATTCATGATGTTAAACAGTTGTTTTTGGAGGCCGTAAATAATGTAAAACCTGAAAACTGGGAAAAGGCAGTAAATCACACTATTAAAGAAGAAAGAATGTGGAAACTGGACAATATTACTGATAAAATGATCGAGCCAGTTATTAAAATCTTGGTTCTGAAAGTTCATCTTCTGAATCTGATTTGGATTTGTAACAAGTAGCTGTAAGTTTTATATTAATATTTTTATTCATCTATTTAACATACCTTAGACGGTTTTAAAAACTCTTTTTCTCTTTGTAATTTTAAAAATTAAAAAAAATGTGAATTTTTTAAAAACCCTTTTTAATGTAGGCCAGTCAGTTCTAATATAGTGTGTGATAAAAAAAGGTCACTTTTGTTTACATACACATAACACTTTATAACACTGAAATAATTCATTTATTTTTTACAATTATTCAAAGTAATTTTTCAATTAATCTTGAGCACGCCCATGGAGTGATCGGAAGTACCAGTTAAAATTATGCTAATTACTCTCTCGTTCATAAAAATAAACTATACCAATAAACCATCTATCTATCTAATACCCCATGTGGTAGGCAAAATATATTCCTTACAGTATATAAAAATTATTAACCGCTATATATTAAAATCCTGTTTCGTATTAAATAAGACTAAGATACCCCTTTCAGTATTATACTCTTATACTACCTTTTAAAGGAAAATTGGTCACGTAACTCGGCTCCAGTTAAATAGGGAATAAAGTGAGGTAACTCGGAGCGATGCCGTATACCCTAGCAGATAAGAGGAACTGACATTTTCCCAGAAATAACTAATAGGGAGACACGTCGCGACTTTCAAGTATTACCTAACTATAAAGTAGTTGTAATAATTTATGAAATGAACATCTTATCTCATAAGTCACAGGCTGAGTATTTGGAGAGGGTTATATTTCATACCAAGTGAAGGGTATATATATTCTGGTTTGAAATTTCGGTCATGTCACTTAATTTCGAATCACGCGAAGTTTCTCTCTTGTTTCTGGGTGCATTTTAGACTTAATAACAAAGTAAAAAACTTTATTTAAAATACATACACTGATAATTAGACCAAAGACTTCAGAAGCGAATTTAGAGAATAAGAAATTTTTTTCATAACCCTTTTTTTACGGCTTTTGATAAATTTATTTAACGGCTTTTAATAAATTTAGTGATAAGAATGTGTAATAAACAAAAGAATGCAAAACATTAATAGTATATTACATAACGAGAGTTGCAAGAAACTTATTAAATGTGAGTAAAAAAAGTTGCGCGCGAGCCGCGTAGCGGCGAGCGCACTAATTTTACAAATATGTACAAGCTCAAAGTTTATTCGTCTTCCGGGTTTGGACCGTGTCATTTGTGAGTGACCCAAAAGTGGGTTCATCTCGACGTTTCGCTACAATTGTATGTAGCTTCTTCAGGAGAACAAAGAAAAAGAAATCAAAAGACAGGAAGATAGGTAGTTAGCAACGGTAACTCAGTTACTCAACGCAACCAGAGGCGAATACTAACTACCAAGATGGGCATTTGGTCACAGTAAATCAACTACTTAACGCAGCCAGAGGTGAAAACCAAATGCCAGGACAGGGATTCAAGTCCAACAGCTCAGAACACTAACGTGTCGAGAGGCGGGGAGTGAATCCGACGATTACTCCGCTACCGCTCTATTTATAGTCGCGGTGACCTGTCGTGTCGGGACGTATCGGC